CCAAATTAGTTTGTTTTCTTGTCATCTTCTTGGTCAGTGATCGTCTTCGTATCCACAGAAGACTCATCCTCACCTCCAAAACCAAACTCGTTGACACGTGTTTTGTCCACTGGATAAACCCATCTCTGGTACAAGTATATCAAGAATATCACATCTGCAACAACACCACCAAAATTCAATCATCAATCAACTTTTGTAAATTCCAAAACTATCTTAAGAGACATTAACCAACAATCTTAGGGAAAGATTGATTTGTACACACCATCTCGGAAGACAGAAAGGCGATGTAGCATTGGCATTTTGATGACAAAAGCAAAGAGATCGTCGATAATGGTGTTAAGGAATTTATATGTCATTTGCCTCCATGGTAAATGTGCTACTGACTTCAGCTTATAGTTGATGAACAATTGAGGACACATCATTATGAAACCTGCAAATACACAAAAGACAATTGGTTGCAGCTCAAACAGAATCAACTACAAGAGAGTTTTGAGCTGGTGTAAGAGAATTTTGAAGGTTTTTTTACCAAACATGTAGACGCAGCTCGTTAGTGAAGATAGGATCCATGAGTACCAGCTCTTGTGGCGTTCGTAGGCAAGTGAATATATGGCGAAACCCGCGACAAGGAGGAGGAGCACATAGGATAAGAATTTAATGGCCATATCATCATACTCCTTGGTCTTGTTGCTTGCATAGGATTCACGGTCGTGGAACCTCAATCTTGGTATCATTCCACTTCGATCAACCTGGGAAGTTTACATGTTTGCCACGGGTTTATAAGCAAAGCAAAAATATAGGATTGAAAGTCACTTGCGGAATTTTTTTTTAATGATGTTGTTAGCTGTTACACATGCGTAAAAATACTGAACTCAATGATTTTGTATGTGATATACCTCTATGCGCATGGCTTTCCCTATTTTCCAGAACTCGATGCAGACACCAACTCCAGAACTAGCCAGAATCATCCATGAAGTGTCGTTGTCAAGCAGATAAAGGAAGATGATGAACTGACAGATAAAGTTCAGTACGACAGACTTTGCAGACAGTCCTTCCATCGATTTGTTCTTGTTCCAAAACTGGATATCTGCAGGGAAGCCAACAGACAATTAGATAGCTAATATCAAAAAAAATTTGGGAAAGTAGCTGTTCTTTTTAGAATTTATTTACCATTTTTGAAAGCAAGGAAGTCAAATACAGAATGAAGCATCGAGACAAACATTGTGACGCCCAACAGATAGGGATTGCCTTCCAAAAATACTCTCTGCATGTAAATTTTCAACCATAATCACACTCAGCTCCAATTAACAGAACATAATTAATCACATTTCTATACCTACTTTCTGAATTCATAGCTAGAATCGAGGTTCACCATAAGACATATATATGAAGCTAACTGAACATAAAATACCAGAATTACCTTTAGTTCGTCAGATTCACCTTCAAGCATGCTTCCATAGCTACGATGAATCTGGAAAGACTGATCAATCTGCTGAAATAGCTGCCACTTTGTCATGCTTATGGGGCTTACTTCCAGATTAAGTGGTAGTTCTGAGACGGTCTCATTGATTGCAATCAACTTGTCCCGTAGCAGCCAAAACTCATTGAAGAAAACTGTAGGGTAGTAGTTTACTGTACTAGGCTCTACCAGTAAATCTGACAACAAAGTTAAGTAAAGCAAAGAGCAGATTTGGCTAGTAGACCGTCACATCTTAAAAATAGCACGGAAGATGAAACATGCAACGGACACATACTAGTGCCTTTAAATTTAAAGAAACATGTGCATAGAAAGTTGTCAAAAACTCAAATAATAATAGGCATGCCAGGCTTCTGCCAAACGAAACGGAAGGATACAAGGAGCAATGTTTGGTGGTACACCATGCTGTGGATAGCTGTAAGAAAATTGAAAATAATTAGCAAACGTTTTACAAAATTCATCGTTAAGAGTGAGTCCAAAAGAAAAGCAAGCATGCCATAAATCCATTAGTTACCTATCTACCAACTTACCGAGTAAAGTCATCGACTAGGTTAATTGTGACATTCGGTTTCCAATAGGATATCCATTCCACAGGGCCCTCATCCTTGAGATCCGAGTCATGACCATCAACCTCCTGCGAAGTCTGCTCTATGTTAGTTCATAAGAATGTGTACCATAACACATGCTTCACTACATACCCAAACCATATGCAAATTTTTTCCTTATCAAAAGTTTCAGTAGAGGCACACCTCAATTTCTGCATTGGATTCAGCAGAGTCTTTGGGATTTCCCAACAGACGCTTCTTCTTATCTGCTTTTCGCTTTGGCAAGTAAGTTGCAACAGCTGAAGAAGTGAATAGAGTTAGTGGATACATGAATGAATCTAAACTACCACAACTGTTAAAAAGGATTGTTTGTCTACGAAAGGGAAGTCTTACGGTGTGTCCTGCCAAAACTATTAAGAGGTTGGTATTCAGGATCGCTAGGATCTATAGGAAAACCAGATCGAGCAAAGAAGACATGAGCATACAGACTTCCATTATTCTTCAGTGCCTGGAACAACAACAGATACCATAACTCAATAGACCGTATAGATTAATCGCGAAGGAATCATGCGACGAACCCCAAATATCTAGTACCTCGGATGGATAATACTTCATTGACAAGGTCCTAGTGCTCTCTGGCTTCCACACAGCATAAGGTATGTTTGTCTCATGCCAAACAAGCGCATCTTCATTGCCAAAGTCATTGAATTTCTCATGCTCCGAAAGATAAAACCACATATCCTAGAGTATAAAAAAGAATGTTTTAGCATTTGGAATCAATCTGAAACATCATTCTTAAATCATAACCCAATTCAGCAATGATCAGAACCAATTTGATTCCAGGAAATCATAGAGTACAGCATCGAAAACACTGTCCTTACGAGAACTTATCAAAGAGGTTGATGAATTCGAATCTTAGACAATCACAGCAAAACCCTAAATCACCCAGAAGTAGAAGAAAAATCGAATCGCAGAAACTAAACTGATATCATCACTCGTAAACATTTACCAAGGGTTCTCCTTTATGAAAGAGATTGGACATAATATGAGTGGGTTGAGATGGCTTAGAAGGATCCACAGGTTTTTGTTTGGGAGAGAAGAACTTAGAAGCAAAGTAGCAGAAGACGGCGATTCTAATGATTCCGGTAATAGTATGCCCAAACCCACCAGCTTGTCGT